CAAAGATCAAAATGCTATAGAAAGTGTTTGATTATTCAATACTTTGAAGCAATATTTTGTTCCAAACCACTGAAAATACAAACATTGCAATTTACAATATTTTCACTTAGCGTTTTTTAGAATGATTTCCTCAAATCACCTCTACATTTAAAAAAAAAAAAAAAAAAAAGTTTCCTGTAGAGTCATTTCGAGTTTCGACTCCTTAAATAACAATAGCCATTTTCGCTGGGTCACTGCTTGCCCATCAATGGATGGGCTAGCTTAATTTTTAAATTGGAGCCTTAAGACTCCTATAAAGGAGCCTCAAGGCTCCCACGCCACTTTTTCCACCGATGTGAGAAAAGTGGCAAAACTAAGGAGAGCCAAACGTTCCACTCCCCATATGATTTATTTTTTTAATTTTATTTCTTTTATTAAATTATTATTATTATTATTTATTTTTTAAAACAATTATTATTATTATTATTATTATTATTATTATTATTATTATTATTATTATTATTATTATTATTATTATTATTATTATTATTATTATGTATACCCTTAGGTCATTTTACATGTTAATCTAAACAGTTAATTTTTTTCAAATATCTTTTTACCAATCGTTTATATAATTCGCTGGTCAAATCCACTAACGCTAACCGCTAACTGTTGATTGTCAAACAAGGACATTGCGAGGTAGTTGTTGGAAAAATAGCATTAAAATGGCATAATATGACATGTTAAATGGCTATTTTGTGGTACAATTATTAGTGGGGTCCACTTCCAATTTGGGTCGGGTCAAAGTGGATTCGGATTCTTCGTAGTGAGATGAAGAGATTGATATATTGTACGCTCAAAACGAATAATGGGTGAATGAGATATTGATTCTCAAAGTAGACCCATTGTGTTGGAAAAATGAAGGGAAAAGTGAGCTTTGTCCCACATTGGTTTGGAAAGAGGATTTGACCCCCCTTTTATACAAGAGCTCTTTTGGAGCTTGTAGAATTGTATAGCATAGAGGCTTTCTCGCGCGGGGGAGGGGGGGGGGGTGCACATCAAATTCCAACTAGAAGCGATATCGAAAAAGCTTGATTCAAGCCCGAGCTCGTTTGCGCCAGCACCCTGGGGGCAGAGTTTGACTCTCGTGTGCACTAACACTAACGCACGAACTTTCGTGCATCCCGAAAGTGGCTGCTTTGAGCGAAAGTAACCGAGCTAAAATTGCGCGAACCATTCGTTAGTTTGACTCTCGTGTGCACTAACACTAACGCACGAACTTTCGTGCATCCCGAAAGTGGCTGCTTTGGACGAAAGTAACCGAGCTGAAATTGCGCGAACCATTCGTTGGTTCTTGACTGTTACAGAATTAATCTTGTATTAATTCCAGTTTTGAATTTTTGAGTTAAATCTCAAATAATGGTGGCTGTTTCATGTGTTACAAATCGTGGTTTAAATGCCAAAAATGAATGCTATTAATTCTTTTCACCTCCTATATAAGGAGTGTAGCAGGAGTGTTTTTCGATACAGAAGAGAACAACACACACACAACACAGAAAATTTTGCTTTCCAAGCTCCAAAAACTCTGCTCTTACTCCTTTCTTGCTGCTGTGTTTTGCCCGTGCTCTAGTTCGCCGAGTTCGCTCGTTTGGGTGCTCAAACGTCGAACCGTTGTACGTTTTATCCTGGGAAACCTAGGCCACAACGCTCCTAGCACTTTTGGGAGGTGGCAAATAAGGTTTTAAGGAAAGACAGGCACTTTGCCTAACTCGTACTTTTCTTTCCTCCTTCTCCTTCTTTCTTGTTATGGATTATGCTTTAAGCAAAAATTCGTTCTCCCTCTAATGATATATTCGTTGGATTGGACTTATAATCTGAGGATTATTAGTTCCAATTTTGGTTGATATATATTGGTATATATTTTTCGTAGATATACATGTATATATAACCCTTGGGTCCGTTTTATATATATTTGTGTGTATATATATAAATATATATTTCGGATAAATATCCAATAATATTTTATATACTTGTGTGTGTATATATAAATATTATTTTTGAGATATAAAATCGATTTTGGTTCATTATCACCAACAGTAGTTTTCCACTTCAATTTGTTGTGTGATTTGAATACTCTCTTTGTCAACAAATCTTCCAAGTAGTTAATATGATTGGCTTACTTATATTTTTTTTTAATTTTTTCATGAAATTAATAAAATACTTCGTAAATAAATATATAGCATTATTTTGTATTATAATTTTAATATTTAATTAAAAAATAATGCACAAAAAAAGATAATAGACAATGTAGTGAATATGACCCATTGATGAATTTGAATGTAAAGAATATGTTTTACATTGGAGAAAAATAAAGAAAATATAACTAATGAAATTAGTTCTCTTAATTAATTTATTGATAATGAATAATTTTTTTTGAATAAAGACATTGTAGGGACAATATAGCGAATATAATCAATTGTTGAAGTTGAATGTAAAGAATTCTTATATTGGAGAAAAATAAAGACAATATAACTAATGAAATTATTTCTCTTATTTAATTTATTGATTTGAATAAAGGCGTTGTAGACACATAATTCTAAATCTACTATATATCTACTATCTACTAGAGCGATTAATCGGTGCCTAGAGCGCCTAGGCGGGCGTCTAGGTGGCCGACCGCCTAATCGGCGCCTAGGCTCGATTTTTGCAACATTGTGTAATTGTTTATAAAAATAAAAAATTTAATTAAGGCAATCATATTAACTACTTGGGGGATTTATTGACAAAAAGAGTATTCAAAACACACAACAAATTGAAGTAAGAAATTATCTCGCAATGTCCTTATTTGGCAATCAGCAGTTAGCTCTTCAATATTAGTATATATTTAATATTTTATGCCCTAATTTTTATTTTCTCTCCCTTATGTCCCGTATTTGGTTTCAACCATACCTATACAATTATTTTATTGACAATTATAATCAATCTTGACTATATTGTCTTGCATTTGTAAACATAGAATTGCCTATTTAAATACGCAAATTTAACATTCAATTATCTATGCATGAACAATTCCAATATATAATCTTGCCTTGATATACTTTAAAGTACTTATTAAAAAAAAAAAACATTGGGCATTATCCCAATCGCGCAATGCGCGTAAAAGACTAGTACATATATCTACTATCTACTATCTACTATACTAATAAGAGCCCAAGAGAGTTAGGCCTATAATGGGTAGAAAAAATGGCGGTCAATTTTTTTAATAAAATGAATAGCTAAGATTGATCAGATTTTAATTTTTTCCTTAAGATTTCCTAATTTATCCTTAATGAATATGATTATTCGTTAACTTTTCCGTTAAATATTATATTTTCCGTTAACTTCTGTTAGTTCACCGTTAACTTACTCATAGATTTCAATAAGAAAGGTCTTAGGTTCGAACCCCATCCCAATCAAAGTTGGCATAATTAGTACTCTATTTTACTCTTATTAAATTAAAAATAATAATTTAGTAGCTACAACAAAAAATAATACATATGCATTTCTTTAATTTTGAATTATGTGTCTACAATGTCTTTATTCAAAAAGAAATTATTCATTATCAATAAATTAAATAAGAGAAATAATTTCATTAGCTATATTGTATTTATTTTTCTCCAATATAAAAATTCTTTACATACAAATTCACCAATTGATTATATTCGCTACAGCCTACATTGTCCCTACAATGCCTTTATTAAAAAAAATTATTCATTATCAATAAATTAATTAAGAGAAATAATTTTATTAGTTATATTGTCTTTATATTTCTCCAATGTAAAAATTCTTTACATTCAAATTCATCAATTGATTATATTCACTACATTGTCTATTTTTTTTTGTGCACTATTTTTTAATTAAATATCAAAGTTATAATACAAAATAATGCTATATATTTATTTACCAAGTATTTTATTAATACCATGAAAAAATTAAAAAAATATAATTAATAAAACCAATCATATTAACTACTTGGGGATTGGGTTGAGGGGAAGGATATGAAGGATGTTATTATGGAATACTTTGCCAATGTGTTTAGTTCTAGTAATCTTGTGGATGGGAGTAATTTATTTGAAAAAGTTACACCAAAGGTCACGCAGGCACAAAATGAGACACTTCTTCAGCCTTTTGGGGTTGAGGAGCTTAAGGCTGCCCTATTTTCAATGTTCCCCGATAAAGCACCAGGATCAGATGAAATGAATCCAGGGTTCTATCAACATTTTTGGGATGTGGTAGGAGGGGATCTGGAAAGTTATATTGTTGATTGCTTAGATACACGTACTTTTCCCCCTGCATTAAACGAAACAAATGTTGTGTTAATTCCGAAGAAGGATGTGCCAGAATTGGTAACTGATCTAAGACCCATAACCCTAAGCAATGTAGTTTATAGAGTGATGGCTAAAATGATCACACAGAGAATGAAGCCTCTGATGGAGGGTATTATTTCAGACACACAAAGTGCTTTTATACCTAACAGGCTAATTACTGATAATATATTGGTAGCGGCCGAAGTGGGACATTTTTTTAACAGGAAGCAATGTGGTGCTGGTGGATGGGGTGCTCTTAAATTGGATATGGCAAAGACATATGATCGTATGGAATGACCATTCTTGAAAGGGATGCTTAAAGCCTTGGGTTTTGATGACAGATGGGTGGATTTGATTATGTTGTGTGTCACCACAGTATCCTATAGATTTTTAATAAATGGTTCCCCTACTGAAGCAATTGTACCCTCCCGTGGTCTCAGGTAAGGAGATCCTTTGTCCCCGTACCTGTTTATTATCTGTGCAGAGGGCCTCTCTCTATTACTGCAGCAGGCTCAGACAAGTGGTTTGATTCATGGGTGTAGAGTGGCACGAGGTGCGCCCCCGGTCTCTCATTTATTTTTTGCTGATGATAGTCTACTGTTTTTTAAGGCAAATGTACATGAAGCCGGGGAGGTAAAGAATTGTTTGACTATATATGAGAACTTGTCTGGGCAGATGGTTAATTATCAGAAATCCAGTATTTGCTATAGTAGAAATACTACTGAGGATGACAGGGATGTAGTGGCACAGACGCTAGGAGTGGTTCAGGCTCCAAATTTTGGAAAATACTTGGGCTTACCAGCTTTTGTGGGAAGAAACAAGAAGGCGGCCTTTGCCTATATTGAAGATAAAATCAAGCAAAGAATTGGGTCATGGAATAAGAAGCTCCTTTCGCAGGCTGGAAAGGAAATATTATTGAAAAGTGTAGCTCAAGCTATGCCTACCTTTTCAATGAGTGTATTTTTGCTGCCCACATCTGTCTGTATTGCCATTGAGCGCACAATGAACCGATACTGGTGTGGATCTAGGACAGACCGTTGTATTCATTGGAAGGCTTGGGATAAATTATGTATCCCCAAGAAATATGGAGGTCTGAGTTTTAAGGATTTAAGGGCATTTAATTTGGCTATGTTAGGTAAACAAGCATGTCGTTTACTTACCAATCCTGATTCTTTGGTGTCCCGCATTTATAAAGCCAGGTATTTCTGTAATCGCCCCTTTACTGAAGCATGTCTTGGGAATAATCCTAGTTATTGTTGGAGGAGTATCATGGCAGCTAAGGACTTGATTGTTGGTGGTGTGAGGCGCCGTATTGGAAATGGTAACTCAACTCTGATATGGAAGGATCCCTGGTTACAGGATGAGATGGATCCTATGGTCCAGACGGAGATGCCACCACAATTATTGGGTGCAAAAGTAGCTGGATTGATAGATCAGACAACGGGTACATGGGACCTATATATTTTATCAGATATTTTTGACCCACATGATGTGCCAAGAATATTAAAAATACCCATCTCTCCGAAATATGAGGATACATGGTACTGGTATGATGATCCCAATGGATGCTACTCGCTCAAGAATGGGTATAGACACATGGTGGGCATTTATGAGAATAATGCTGGTTTTGATAAATGGAACACACTATGGAAATTACAGATCCCGCCAAAATGGAGAATGCTTTTACGGAGAGCCATAAGTAATATCCTGCCTACTACCAACAATTTACTTATAAAGAGGGTGGATGTTGATCCGATACGTGCCATGTGTGGATTAAATAATGAAGATATAATGCATTCTTTAGTCATGTGTGATTATGCAAAGTCCATATGGAACCATTCTGGCCTTCCATTGCCCCATATTGTGACAAATATTTTTCATGAATGGTTTAGGACAATCTTAAATGTTCTAGACTCTAATGAAATGTTATTTGCAGCTGGAATTTTATACAACATTTGGAGAGCCCGAAACGTAGCGGTATGGGATGCTGGTCTACCGTTACCAAGAAGGGTGTTAGCGTCGGCCGTAGCCACGACGAATGCATGGCAGGCGGTGAATGCAAAGTCCGCCACTGCCCAAGAACCAAGCCACGTGATGAGTGGGCTGCAGTCTGAGACAATTGGAGCGCCATACCCAAGTCCAGCCGCTATTGCACTGCCGCAAAATCAACCTGCCGTGCCACCTCCATCACAGCCGAAGCTGTGTTATATAGATGCAGGTTACGGTACTGGATTAATGACAGCCACAGCCGGAGTAGTTTTATTCGATCATCTTGGAAATTATATATCGGCGTATTGTGTGCCACCACAAACTTGTTTCTCACCCCTTATGGTCGAAGCGCTAGCGTGTAAAGAGGCTTTGTCATGGCTCAAAGACCGTGGTGAACAGGCTGTTCAAATATTCACAGATTGCCAAACCTTACGAGCTTACCTGGACTCAACTGTCCGGCCTCGATCATATCTTGGCTATGTTCTTGATGAATGCAGGAGATTGATGACTACGTTTCATTTTTGTTCAGTTAATTTTATTCCTAGATCGCAGAACATTACGGCACATGCTTTAGCATCATCTGCCTTTACTTTTTCTACAGCTATGTACTGGGACGAGGTCCCGCCTGACTCTATTTCGACTCATATATAAATGCAACCACATTGGTTTTTCAAAAAATGTTAACTACTTGGGGATTTATTGACAAAAAGGGTATTCAAATCACACAACAAATTGAAGTGGGAAACTATCTCGCAATGTCCTTATTTGGCAATCAGCAGTTAGCTCTTCAATATTAGTATATATTTAATATTTTATGCCCTAATTTTTATTTTCTCTCCCTTATGTCCCGTATTTGGTTTCAACCATACCTATAAAATTATTTTATTGACAATTATAATCAATCTTGACTATATTATCTTGCATTTGTAAACTTAGAATTGCCTATTTAAATACGCAAATTTAACATTCAATTATCTATGCATGAACAATTCAAATATAATCTTGCCTTGATATACTTTAAAGTACTTATTTAAAAAAAAAAAATTGGGCATTATCCCAATCGCGCAATGCGCGTAAAAAACTAGTATATATCTACTATACTAATAAGAGGCCAAGAGAGTTAGGCCTATAATGGGTAGAAAAATGGCGGTCACAGATTTTAATCAAATGAATGGCTCAGATTGATTAAAAGATTGATAAGATTTAAATTTTACACTAAAATTTTCTAAGATACCCACACACCGTTACTAATTCCGTTAAAATTTTAAGAATTGCCGTTAGTTCACCGTTAACTTACTCATTGATTTCAATAAATAAAAAAAAAAAAAAGGGTCATAGGTTCGAACCTCATCCCAATCAAAGTTGGCATAATTAGTACTATATTTTACTCTTATTAAATTATATAAATAATAATTTAGTAGCTACAACAAAAAATTATAGATATGCATTTATTTAATTTAGAATTATGTGTCCACAATGCCTTTATTCAAAAAAAAAATATTCATTATCAATAAATTAAATAAGAGAAATAATTGTATTAGTTATATTGTCTTTATTTTTCTACAATATAAAAATTCTTTATATTCAAATTTATTAATTGATTATATTCGCTACATTGTCCTTACAATGTCTTAATTCAGTGAAAAAAAATTATTCATTATCAATAAATTAATTAAGAGAAATATTTTCATTAGTTATATTGTCTTTATTTTTCTAAATGTAAAAGTTTTTACATTCAAATTCATCAATTGATTATATTCACTACATTGTCTATTATCTTTTTTGTGCACTATTTTTCTAATTAAATATCAAAGTTATAATACAAGATAATGCTATATATTTATTTACCAAGTATTTTATTAATACCATGAAAAAATTAAAAAAAATATAATTAATAAAGCCAACCATATTAACTACTTGAGAGATTTTGTGACAAAGAGAATATTCAAATCACACAACAAATTGAAGTGAGAACTACCTTGCATTGTCCTTGTTTGACAATCAGCAGTTAGCGCGCGGATTATATTAGCGGATTTGACCAACGAATTTATTTAATTGTTAATATTGGGTAGAAAAAATGACCGCCAAATTATTAAATCAAATGAATGGTTCAAATTGTTTAGGTTTTAATTTTTTTTAAAAATTTTTCTAATTTATCCTTAATTATATGATTATCCATTTAACTTTTCCGTTAAATACCGTTAATTCACCGTTAGTCTAATTATAATATTAACGTCTAATATAGAATTATAATTACACCATTAATCTAATTCTAATATTAAAGTCTTAATAGAACTTAACCACAAATCCAAATGTCGAAATCTCCTCAAACAATATCAGTATATATTTAATATTTTATGCTCTAATTTTTATTTGTTCTCCCTTATGTCCCGTATTTGGTTTCAACCATACCTATACAATTATTTTATTTGACAATTATAATCAATCTTGACTATATTATCTTGCATTTGTAAACTTAGAATTACCTATTTAACCCGCACGGGCTTAGCTCAATGGTTTAGTGGGCAGTATTTGGGAGAAGAGACCAAGGTTTGAACCTCGGCGGCGGCAGTGCGGGAATTATGTCTAAAGTGGGCAGATTCCTTGTTCGCACCGGCATTTGGTCCTGTCTGCTGAACCATTGAGTCACCGTGATTTACAACTTCCTACAATGCTCTGTCGGGTCAGAGTGTGGAGGGGCCCTTGGGGTAGGGGACTCAACCTTTGGGAGAAGAATTACCTATTTAAATACGCAAATTCAACCTTCAATTATCTATGCATGAACAATTTCAATATAATCTTGCCTTAATATACTTTAAAGTACTTATTTAAAAAAAAACATTGGGCATTATCCCAATCGCGCAATGCGCGTAAAAAACTAGTATACTAATAAGAGCCCAAGAGAGTTAGACCTATAATGGGTAGAAAAAATGGCGGTCAAATTTTTTAATCAAATGAATGGCTCAGATTGATCAGATTTTAGTTTTTCCTTGAGATTTCCAAATTTATCCTTAATGAATATGATTATCCATTAACTTTTCCGTTAAATATTATCTTTTCCGTTAATTTCTGTTAATTCACCGTTAACTGGTCTTAGGTTCGAACCACATCCCAATCAAAGTTGGCATAATTAGTACTCTATTTTACTCTTATTAAATTAAAAATAATAATTTAGTAGCTACAACAAAAAATAATACATATGCATTTCTTTAATTTAGAATTATTTGTCTACAATGCCTTTATTCAAAAAAAAAAATATTCATTATCAATAAATTAAATAAGAGAAATAATTTCATTAGATATATTGTTTTTATTTTTCTCCAATATAAAAATTCTTTACATTCAAAATTCAAATTCATCAATTGATTATATTCGCTACATTGTGCCTACAATGTCTTTATTAAAAAAAAATTATTCATTATCAATAAATTAATTAAGAGAAATAATTTTATTAGTTATATTGTCTTTATTTTTCTTCAATGTAAAAATTCGTTACATTCAAATTCACAATTGATTATATTCACTACATTGTCTACTATCTTTTTTTGTGCACTATTTTTTAATTAAATATCAAAATTATAATACAAAATAATGCTATATATTTATTTACCAAATACTTTATTAATAACATGAAAAAATTTATAAAATTTAAAATATTAAAGCCAATTATATTAACTACTTGAGGGATTTGTTGACAAAGAGAGTATTCAAATCACACAACAAATTGAAGTGAGAAACTACCTCGCAATGTCCTTGTCTGACAATCAATAATTAGCGGTTAGCGTTAGCGGATTATATTAGCGGATTTGACCAGCAAATTATATCAACGGTTGGTAAAAAGATATTTGAAAAAATTAACTGTTTAAATTAACATTTAAAATGACCTAAGGGTATAATAATAATAATAATAATAATAATAATAATAATAATAATAATAATAATAATAATAATAATAATAATAATAATAATAATAATAATAATAATAATAATAAAATAATAATAATGATGATGATGATAATAATAATAATAATAATAATAATAATAATAATAATAATAATTGTTTTAATAATATATATTTTTTTAATTTAGATGTGTTTTGGAGAAATCAATCTCAAACACGTTAAGTGAAAATATTGTAAATTGCAATGTTTGTATTTTTAGTGGTTTGGAACAAATTGTTGCTTCAAACTATTGAATAACCAAAACACTTTTCTTTAGCATTTTGATCTTTGCGTTACATCATATTTACCGATCGTCCAATATCTTTGAGTTACATTATAATTAATATTTTTAAATTTTTACTACATCTAAATTCTTTAAATTAGGAATTTCTTTATCCATAATAATTTATTCAACAATAATGGTTGAACTAAATGACCACTGAGCAAAACACCTAAAGGATTGGTACCGTTGATTCATTCATTGATCTTGTATATATGTGCATTCATTAAATATATTAGAACACTTTGTAACAAAAATATGATTACTATTTAAAAAAAAATAGTAACAATTATAATGAATCTCCTATATTACATTGTATTCATATACTATGAGTTACATATTTAAATAAACAAATTTGACATTAAATTACTTATGTATGAACTTCTCAATCTTGCATTGATATACTTTTAAATATTTATATTTATTTAATTATAAACATTGCGTAGAAAAAATGACCATCAAATTATTAATTCATATGAATGGTTCAGATTGTTTAGATTTTAATTTTTCCTTGAGATTTTCTAATTTATCCTTAATTATATGATTATCCATTAACTTTTCCGTTAAATATTGTTAATTCACCATTAGTCTAACTAGTAATTGTCCCGTGCGATGCATGAACTATTATTAATTTAACAAATTTACCAATTAAGTTTTTGACATTTTCTTAATTAGCAAAGAAAGTAATGGTTGTGGAAACAGAAAAACGTACTTGAGTTATTGAGTTCAAAATTAGTTTGATTTAAAATGTAAGTATAACTATACAATGTAATATTTAATATGTGCATTCATTAAATATATATTAGAACCCTTTGCAACAAAAATACTTGGTTACTATTAAAAAAAAGTTTAGTAACAATTATAATGAATCTCCTATATTACATTGTATTCATATACTATGAATTACATATTTAAATAAACAAATTAGACATTAAATTACTTATGTTGAACTTCTCATATATAAACTTACATTTATATACTTTCAAATATTTATTTAATTATAAACATTGGGTAGAAAAATGATCGTCAAATTATTAAATCAAATGAATAGTTAAGATTGTTCAGATTTTAATTTTTCCTTGAGATTTCATAATTTATCCTTAATTATATGATTATTTGATCCGTTAACTTTTCCATTAAGTACCGTTAATTCACTGTTAGTCTAATTCTAATATTAAAGTCTAATATAGAATTACGACTACAACATTAATCTAATTCTAATATTAAAGTCTTAACAGAACTCTAACCACAAACCCTACTGCCGGAATCTCCTCAAACAATATTAGTATATATTTAATATTTTATGCTTTAATTTTTATTTGCACTCCCTTATATCCCGTATTTTTTTTTTACATCAAAATGGAGGGGGGTACCCAAGAATTCAAGGACACCTGGGAAACAAAGCTCCCGGCTTGTCATGTCTAATAATGTCACTCAGAGCCGGAGGCGCACCATGGACCGCACGGTATCCAATCTGATGGGCGAGTGCCGCCGTAGCCAGCCAATCTGCCGCCTTATTACCTTCTCTGAAAACGTGGTTGAAGTGAATCTCCCTAAACCTTGCAATCTCGCGTGCACACCGCCTTACAATGTTGTTGTCAAAGGCTTCCTCACTCGTCAGCTCGCGGAAATTATCCAGAAGTCGCTTGGAATCACACTCAACTATGAGTTTAGACACACCATTCTCGTTGGCCAAACCCAGACCGTGATACAGCCCCCAAGCTTCCGCTTCGAAGGCTTGGCAACGTCCTATGTTGACCGTGAAACCTCCATACCAATCGCCGTGTTCATCTCTGATGAGACCACCGCAACCTGCCTCTCCGCTGCCCTTACAGCTTCCATCAGTGTTGAGTTTAAGCCAGCCGCTGTCTGGTTTTTTCCATCCCACCTGAGCCTCGGGGTTTCGTCCTATTCCTTTCTCCGGATGGAGACGCTTGGAAAACGCAGCTTGCACTTCCATGTCGTAATGAACTAGCCAATCTAACTTGTCTTTCACCGGAATGCTCTGGCCATTGAAAATGCCTTTATTCCTCCAGCGCCAAAGCCACCACAGCCTGATACAAAACTTTTCTGGCCAGTCATCCCTAAAACCCTGGCTTGCCTTGCCCTTCAGGTTCGCCGCAAGCCATTGTTTCCATGGCATGGCGTTCAGAGTGGCTGCTGAACTCCTGGGAACAACTGGTTCCCATATACTTCTCGCCGCCGGGCACGTTCGAAAGAGATGAGAAAGGTCCTCGATCTGACCTGCACACAGATAACAAAAAGGGTTAGATGTGAGATGACGCCTGGTTCTCTCAGCATTGATGAGGATCTTCTCGTGCCGCAACAACCAGAGGAACATGCAAATCCTAGCTGGTACACGGATACGCCAGAGCTTGCGCCAGTCCATGTCTATGGCATCTTCAGGGGATTTCACCAGATGTTCGTACATGGACCGTATAGAGAAATTCCCGTTAAGTTCTAAGCTCCATCCCACCTTGTCAGGCAAAAGGTCTTCCGTGAGAATGTAACCTGCTAGTTTGCCTTTGGATTCTGCCGTCAAGATGTGCTCTAGACATTCCCACTTTCATCCCCATGTTTCATCCCAGTAGTCTCTAACTGGTGCATAAAGGTCAGGTAAGGCTAGTGGTACGTTGAGCTGACCGTACAAAGGCTCGGGTGTTAGCCACTTATCCATCCAAAACTGTGTATTCCTGCCATCCCGTACCGAGCACATAAGCCCTTGTTCCATTACCGGCCACGCTACGGATATCCCTCGCCATGCGTTCGATGCGCTACGCCGTGTTTGCCTAACAACATGCCCGTCCCTAGGGAGTCTGTATTTGGTGTTTAAAGTTTGTGCCCAGAGACTGTCGTTCTCCGTGATTAGACGCCAACCCAGTTTTGCCATATAAGCCGTGTTCAGCTCGTTTAGGCGTTTGAGACCCAGACCTCTCGCTTCTCGTGCCGTAGTGACTGTTCCCCAATTCACCAGACTCATTCTGTTTTGTGTTCCATTGCGTCCCCAGATGAAACTCCTCGTTCTCTTCTCGATTTCCAGGCAAATGCTCTTAGGAAGTGACGTTGTTTGCATAGTGTAAGCGGGTATAGCATTTAGCACAGATTTCGCAAGAACAACTCGCCCCGCCAGAGAAAGCGTCTTCGCTTTCCACCCCTCAAGGCGATTTGAAATCCTTGAGAGCAAATCCGAGTGCGTTGCACAGGTGACACACCCGTGTATAGCTGGTACGCCCAAATACTTGCCTAGGTCGTCGGTGCTTGCAATGCCTAGCCTCCCTGTAATGTCCGCCGCGAGGCCTGGTTCCATGTTTTTGGAGAAGAACACTTGTGATTTGTTGAGGCTAATTTTCTGTCCCGAGGCTTGACAAAAGAGGTCCAGACATTCCTTTACTATCCCAACCTGTTCCACTGGAGCCTCCGTGAAGAGAACCATGTCATCTGCAAAACAAAGATGGGTTAAAATAGGTCCATTAGTAGCAAGTTTGATACCTTTCCACCTTTTCCTATCCACTTCTGCAACTATAAGTTGGCTCAGTCTTTCCATACACAGCACAAAGATTGCCGAGGACATCGCATCACCCTGCCTTACCCCACGTTCCGGGTGGATTGGCTCCAGCCGATCGCCGTTCCAAATGATAGAAAGCCTTGGCGTGCGAATGCATGCCATAATGAGATTCCTTAGAGATCCAGTAAAGCCAACACAATCAAGAGTGTCCTGGATGAAGCTCCACGATAGCCGGTCATATGCCTTCTCTAAATCGAGCTTGATCGCCATGTATCCCTTGGCCCCCCGCTTTGTGCGCATGGTGTGCATAACCTCCTGGAAGATGAGGACATTATCCGTTATCTGACGGCCTGGAACAAAAGAACTCTGAAACGGCCCTGTAACCTTGGGTAAAATGAGTTTAAGCCTGTTAGTAATGGTCTTGGTGATGATTTTGTAGCTCACGTTGCAAAGGCTGATTGGCCTGAACTGCTTGATATTCTCCGGGGCCTGAACCTTGGGGATCAGGGCAATAAGAGTGTCGTTCAAACCATCCGGGAGGGTACCTGTCGTGAACGCCTTGTGTACCAGCTAAAAGATGTCCTCCCCAGTCACTTCCCACATGTGCTGATAAAAGCCCGCTTGGAAGCCATCTGGTTCCGGTGCCTTGAAAGGTTTCATGTCCTTGAGCGCATTGTGGACCTCCTCTTTGGTTACCTGTCTATTAAAGCACCTCCAGTCGAGGTCCCATAGAACCGGGAAGTTTGCCATGAATTGTTCTTGTGGGGCCCCCGTACCTTCATCGGAGAACAGACGCACATAGAAGTTTCGGATGTGGTCCTTGAGCCCTGTCTCCCCCGTAATCCAAACTCCGGTATCGTCTACCAAACTCCGGGCGAAAGTGCGTGACTTGCGGATGGCTGCTGCGGCATGGTAAAAAGACGTATTCATGTCCCCTGAGCAAATCCATTCTTCCCGGGACTTCTGGTACCAAAGTAGCTCTTCCTGGTGCAAGGTGGCTTCTAACTCATTTCCAAGCCTGTGCTCCAGCTTCTCCAGACCACGGTGATGCGTTCTCGCCAGCACCTTCTGAATGCCACTAATCCGAGACATAAGGATCCGCTTGCGTTTGAAGATGTTTCCAAAGGTAGATTTGTTCCACGCCGACAAACCAGCCGCTAGGTTGCGTGTGTTGTCCATAATGCTTTGATCGTGCTTCCAATTTCATTCAACTACCCCTCGAGCGTCTGCATGAGTCAACCAAGCTGCTTGAAAAATGAAGGGCGCCACCTTTCGGTGCTGCTTTTCGCCCTGAACCTGTAATAAAAGAGGTGCATGGTCAGAAGCAAAACGGGCTAGGTGAGTAACACAGCACCTGGGAAACGGAGCTTCCAATCCGTGTTGCACAAGGCCCGATCCAGCCGGGCACCTTTAGGGATGCCATTACAAACATTTTTCACCCAAGTGAGATTTGGTCCCGAAAAACCCAAATCAATAAGCCCCTCCTCCTGGATCCAGCTCGTAAAGTCCGAGCTTCGATGAGCCGAGAAAGAGCTGTAGTTGCTTGTCTCATCCCTACTAATAACAGCGTTGAAGTCCCCAGCTGCGAGCCAAGGTCCCGCGATGTTGCGTTCCGAGTGCCTAAGGTCCTTCCATAACCTCCGGCGCAGATGGTGGGTAGGGCTGCCGTACACCGAGGCTATAAGCCAAGGCGGCTGGTTATTTTCCTCCACCTGCATAAGAATAAACTGGGGGAGAGTATATACTATTTTTACCCTTACCGGGTCCTTCCAGAATACCCAGATACCACCGTTGAAGCCAACAGCTTCCACCCTGATCCAATCCGAAAAGCCCAACTTTTTACAAATCTCGTTCGCTTGGGCGCCGGACACCTTTGGCTCGAAAAGGCTTAGGATGCCAGGCCTGTAAATGTTGAGAAGGTTTTTAAGGGCACGAAGGAATGCCTTTCCTCCCGCACCCTGGCAATTCCAAAAGATACAATCCATAAAAAAACTTTAAAGAAAGGGAGTAAACAAAGGCAAGCCAGAAAAAACCAAATTAAAACGCAATCCGGGGTTACTTACGAAGCTCCCCCGTTACCTCCACTTCCACATAGCGCCTAGACACCACTGAGGCCCATTACCACGTCCCCTTCATCATCTAAGAGCTCCGGAGGATCGCTATGGTGTTCTTTCGAAGACTGCCACACCGGAGATGGTATGTGGTCCCCGGCATCTCCTGCGCATACGCGGGCAGTCTGAATCACTAAGCCTCCTTGTTCTCCTCTGACCACAACATGCTCTTCCTCTTCTGCCGCCCACCTGGATGTCCCTCCGGTTTCCCTTCGTGATCCTGACGCGGTGATGTGCTCATTCAGTTTCAACCCCTGCGGTGGCGCCGGTGTGTTCATAATCTGCTTCTCTTGCGCAATCACGTTTGGTCGGCGGTGGCTGTTCCCTCTGTTTCCACTCACTGGATTCTTCCTTGGGGGTGGGTTGGCGTTTTCATCTCTGTTCGCTGCATTAGTTGTGTCCCTCATGTTATCAGCGCAAATTTCTGGCTGCACAAGTGCGATCGCGTCCAAGTCCTCCTCTTCATCTTCTGTCCGCAACGCTGCGAATCTGGACGTCCTAGTCATCAACCCGCCTCTGCCTCGCGTTGTCTCCCCTCGGGTTGCCGGTTTCCTTGTATTCTTGTCAGAGCCTGCCGTCGCCGGACGACCTCGACGCTGCGGTGCGAGCATCCAGGCACCAAAGGAAATGGTGGGGTCCGATGTCTCTTTCGCAATAGTAGCTGTTGTTCGCGCAAAAGCCGAATTCAACGCTTCTGCCTGATCCATCTCCTCCACCGCGATTCCATCATTCTGATCATCTCCTGCTTTGCATAGCTTCAGGCAAGTCTCTTTTGCATGACCATACACACCACACGAAAAACATACTAGGTGAATGCCTTCATAAACAACGTACCTGACCTTACCTTCGTAGTTGAATTTCGAGATGATCGGCTTTCGCATGTCTATCTCGACGCAGATTCTCGCAAACCTCCCTCGGGATCCCAAGCTGGTTGCCCGATCAACTCGCACTGTGCGGCCAATCCTGTTGCCAAGCTTCCGGAGAAATATTATATCATAGTACTCCATCGGGATACACGGGATCCGCGCCCATACAAGCACTTTCTCCGTTGTATCGTTCATCGGCTCGAAATCCGGCTCCCATGGCTTGACTATTAGGTAGTGGCCGATGACCATCCACGGGCCTTCGTACATCGCAAACTCCAAGTCTTCGAACGAGCCGAATCTTACCAGATAATAGTCATTCTCCAGTGCAATCAGATCCATGCCACCTTTCGGCTTCCACATCGCCGTGAGACGTCTCAACATATATGCGTAACCGACCCTACGTCCCATCACCTTGATGATAAGAGATTTTCTCCACGGCGCCCTGATCATCTCCACTTCTTCCTTGGTCAGCCTAATCTTCGGGCAAAGGGGATCATCGTTTTCCTCCGCAACCAGTTCCGCATGCACACGTTCCTGATCCGGGCTGTCCACATCCAAACACTGTCCTGGCTCGATCCATCCATCAAGGCTCTCTGCGTACGTACGCCTAATCTCCGGTTGTGCTCGATGGTGTTCCGATCCTGCTGGCACTGGCTGCGTCTCCCTCGTGGCATGTTCATCGACCGGGGCCTGCTCACCATCGCCAGGAATATCCTCCAGCGGCGTTTCCTGAACCATCTCCACCTCCTCCACCGGATCGGCCTCGGGGCTTATGATCACCGGCATATCATTGATCGGAGCTGCCTCGCGTTTCAATTTCTAGGTGCTACGCTCAAGAAGATCGAGATCCTCTGCTGATCGTGGTGTCGAGAGCGTTTCCATCTTATATTAACCTAAAGAGTATTTCTTGTCACGAATGAATCATATTAATGCCCCTTATATCCCGTATTTGGTTTCAACCATACCCATACAATTATTTTATTCACAATTATAATCAATCTTGACTATATTATCTTACATTTGTAAATTTAGAATTACCAATTTGAATATGCAAATTCAACATTCAATTATCTATATGCATGAATAATTATAATATAATCTTGCCTTGATATACTTTAAAATACTTATTTAAGATTGATCAGATTTTAATTTTTCCTTTAAGATTTCCTAATTTATCCTTAATGAATATGATTATCCGTTAAATATTATCTTTTCCGTTAATTTATGTTAGTTCACTGTTAACTTACTCATTGATTCCAATAAGAAAGGTCTTAGGTTCGTACTGCATCCCAATCAAAGTTGACCTAAATAATAATTTAGTAGCTACAACAAAAAAAAAAATAATACATATGCATTTCTTTAATTTAAAATTATGTGTCTACAATGTCTTTATTCAAAAAAATTATTCATTATCAATAAATTAAATAAGAGAAATAATTTCATTAGTTATATTGTCTTTATTTTTTGGAATAAGGTTCAAATTGGCCACTGAACGTAACCTGAAAATGCAATTAGACCACTGAACGAAAAAAAAAGTACAAAAAAAATAAAATAATACATATGCAAGTAACCTGCTAAAATTGATGGTAACCTGCTATTAGGTGAAATAGCATACATTTGGAGGTTCAGTGGCCTAATTGCAATTTTTTTTTTTCGTTCAGTAGCCTAATTACATTTTTAGGTTACGTTCAGTGGCCAATTTGAACCTTATTCCTTATTTTTCTCCAACATAAAAATTCTTTACATTCAAATTCATCAATTGATTATATTTGCTGCATTATCCCTACAATGTCTTTATTAAAAAAAAATTATTCATTATCAAGAAATTAATTAAGAGAAATAATTTTATTAGTTATATTGTCTTTATATTTCTCCAATGTAAAATTTTTTTACATTAAAATTCATAAATTGATTATATTCACTACATTGTCTATTGTCTTTATTGTGCACTATTTTTTAATTAAATATCAAAGTTATAATACAAAATAATGCTATATATTTATTTTACCAAGTATTTTATTAATACCATGAAAAATTTTTAAAAAATATAATTAATAAAGCCAATCATATTAACTACTTGAGCGATTTGTTGACAAAGAGAGTATTCAAATCACACAACAAATTAAAGTGAGAACTACCTCGCAATGTCCTTGTTTGACAATCGGCAGTTAGCGGTTAGCGTTAGCGGATTATATTAGCGGATTTGACCAGCGAATTATATCAACGATTGGTAAACAAATATTTGAAAAAATTAGATGTTTAGATTAACATGTAAAATAACCTAATGGTATAATAATAATAATAATAATAATAATAATAATAATAATAATAATAATAATAATAATAATAATAATAATAATAATAATAATAATAATAATAATAATAATAATAATAATAATAATAACAACAACAACAACAATAATAATAATTGTTTTGAAAAAATAAAAAAATAAAAAAAATATAATTAAGCCAATTATATTAACTACTTGGGGGATTTAGTGACAAAAAGAGTATTCTTACCCCAAAAGGCTGAATCCCAACCCTAAGGGCCCCCCACACTCCGACCCGATAGAGCATGTGGGAGGATACAAAAAGAGTATTCTAATCACACACAAATTGAAGTGAGAAATTATCTCATGATGTCCTTGTTTGGCAATCAGCCCATTAGCTCTTCAATATTAGTATAAATTTAATATTTTATGCCCTAATTTTTATTTGATCTCCCTTATGTCTCGTATTTGGTTTCAACCATACCTATACAATTATTTTATTGACAATTATAATCAATTTTGACTATATTATCTTGCATTTGTAAACTTAGAATTACCTATTTAAATACGCAAATTCAACATCAATTATCTGTGCATGAATAATTCCAATATAATCTTGCCTTTATATACTTTAAAGTACTTATTTAAAAAAACATTGGACATTATCCTAATCGCGCAATGCGTGTAAAAAACTAGTTAAAACAATGCATATGTATTATTTTTTGTTGTAGCTACTAAATTATTATTTTAATTTAATAAGAGTAAAATAAAGTACTAATTGTGACAACCCAAAAATAATTTTTCTAAATTCTATTTTATAAATTTCAAAATAGCCATTTTCACTCTTTCAAAAATTTTATTTCGAGAATGGTGTTTGAATTAAATATTTTGAATTGAGTTTTCAAATAAATTCAACACCGAGAATGTTCTATTTCGAAAATCCTAAATTTTGGGTATATTTATGTACCAACTTTTGATCCAAAAGTCAATATGAGTGAAATCGGAAAGAAACCTGTGAAACCTAAACCAAGTGTTTTAACTAGAAACTATTTTAAAAAAATCTATTTTTGATCCCAAGTTATCCAAAAATCACTTTCTAGACTATGGTCCATGATGCAAGGTGAATCATAAGCCTTCTACTACCTTGTTGATATTTTTACAATCAAGCCAAATTTCTTTTTTGCCCTCCACCAATCATTGAATTTAGGATTTAGTTTTAAAAATATGTCCCGGTGTTGAATTTATTTAAAGGTGACTCAAAATAATTTATTCAAACACTGATTTTATCACAAAATTTTTTATAGAGTGAAAAATGACTATTTTGAAATTTCTTAAAGTGGAATTTATAAAATTAAATTTTGGGTTGTCACACACCTGTCGGGGGAAGAGTTGTTTGCATTGAGTAGAGAGGGATAGCTGCCAAGACTGATTGTGCAAGGATTTTCCTGCCGACGAAGGACAAGGTCTTCATTCTCTAACCAGGCAATCTGTTTCGAACTCTATTGATGAGGCCATCGAAAGACTCTTTTTTTAATCTCCCATGAAATGAGGGGACTCCCAAATACCTACCTAAGTCACTAGTTATTGGGATCCCAAGTAGGTTGGCAATATCTTGCTGGTTATTTGCCACTGTATTCTTAGAAAATTATAAGGAGAATTTTTGACAGTTAACTCGCTGTCCAAAGTAGCTACAGAATTCATCTAAGCAAAGCTTTATTACCAAATCTTGTTGAAGGGTTGCTTCCCCATGCAAAACCATGTCGTCTGCGAACAATAGATGTGAAACACAAGGTCCATTCCTAGATACTTTAATGCCTTTCCACACGCCCGACATTACCTTAGTGTTGATTAGATTACTAAGACGTTCAATGCATAAAATGAAAATCAAAGGTGAAATAGGGTCACCTTGGCGGATACCCCCACTTTGCTTGAACCAGTTTGAGCGCTGCCCGTTCAGAGAAATAGCGAGTCTTGGTGTAGATATGCAAGCCATTATGCTTCTAATCCAGAAGTGATTGAATACAACTTCTTGTAACGTTTCTTCAATGAATTTCCAAGATAGACGATCATAGGCCTTTTCGAGGTCTATTTTTAAGACCATCCAACCTACACTTCCTTTTTTTTTTCATAACATTCAAAACTTCTTGGTATGCCAGTATGTTGTTTGATATTTGTCTTCCGGGAACAAAACTTGATTGTTGTGGCCCTATTAACTCCTGCATGATAGCCTTCATTATTGTTGTCAAAGTCTTTGAGATGACCTTGTATGAGACATTACAAAGGCCAATTGGCCGGAGTTGAGCTACTGTACTTTTTCAGGACTTGGCACTTTGGGGATCAAAGCTATTAGCGTGTCATTGTATCCATCCAGTAATATTCCAAATTCGAACAAATCCAGAACTACTTTCGTAAGGCTTTGCCTACCACTGCCCATGCTTGTTGAAAGAATGCTGCATGATAGCCATCTGGACCAGGTGCTTTGAGTGATGCCATGTCAAATATTGCTTGCCTAATTTCCACCTTTAAAAATGGTTCATTAATCTGCTGCCAATCAATGTGATGTAATCTAGGGAATGTTCCACTCCAGTTTCTTTGCTGCATGTTATGTTCTTCCTTTGTACAAAGCTTGGCAAAATAGCTACAAATGTGTTGTAAAATAGCTTCTTGATCCGTGAGCCATCCCCCTACTCATTTTTCAATTTTGTAATTCTGGAAGCAGATTTTTTTGCGGCTGTGGCAGCATGGTAGTATCTAGTATTTCGATCTCCTGAGGTAATCCATTCTTCGCATGACTTCTGATACCATAACAACTCCTCTTGATATAGAATTTCTTCCAATTCCTTCTGTAGTTTCCTATTTAGTTTGATCAAGTCTGATATGTAGTTCTAGGCGAGGCACCGCTGTACACCTTCCATTCTTGCTAGGACCCTTTTCTTCCGGAAAATGTTACCGAATGTTCTCTGGTTCCAACTTTGTAATTTTTCTGCCAAGTCTTTTTTGCTTTGCTCCATATCGCCATTATGACTCTAGGTTTTTTTTTTTTTTTTTTTTTTTTTTTTTTTTTCTTTTTTACGAAGCTTAAAAACTCTGGATGTGTTGCCCAAGCTGCATTGTACTTAAACTTTTTTTGTTTTGATATCTTGCTTCGGTTGGGTTGTGCAGACGAGAAGATGGGCATGGTGTAACACCCTACTTTTCTTAAACCTTATTAACAAACTTAACCTTGAAAGATAAACTAAACAAGCCAGATAAACTTGCTAAACAAACTTATAATAAGAGCTGTCACCGCCATAATCACCCTTCACGGTGATTGCACAGGCAAAGGTTAATCATCTAAACCAAACAAGTTTTACTAAAAAAAAAAAAAAAAAAAAAAAAAAAAAAAAAAACAAAAAACTAGGGGATAAGACACCGGTGTCCAGCACCATCAAAACATATAGGTAAGTCCACTATCAAGTCTCAAAAACAACCAACAGGAGTTTAGATTACAACTAGCTATATATGCTAATCTAATCT